GTCTGTATGTTGTCTTCCATGAGCAGATCTATTTCGTTGTCAGGAGGAGTTCGACGTCCTCTGTGGCTCTGAGAGCAGCTTTCCCAAGTCTGAGAAAATAAGTCTGACAAACCTTCAGGGATGCTTCAGGTTGGACCTGAGACAGAAAGCCCATTTTACAAACTGAGTCGTGGTGTCTGGTGAAAGACGCCACTGATTTGCATTATGGGAATTGTTCTGCAGCTTGATCCTCAGTAAGGACTAGAGCTGCATCACCACCAAACATGTTACGATCGAGCACTTTCTAAACAACTCAAGCTGACTGTAGCGTCCACTTTTTAAGAAACGGTGGCTGTTTGACTGCATCATTGGGGTTTTTCTGCAGCTCGATGTCGTGTCAGAACTGGTTCAAAAACGGTGAGGACAGCGCCAGTGTGCAACGTTCAGCACTGACAGCCCTACATCCTGAAGTTCCTGAACCTTCAAGCAGCACAGGAACGTCTTAGGGGTAAAACAATCTACCTGCAACTGCATTTAGCCCCTAGCTGGTTCCTCTGGTGCAAACGAAGGCAGAGAAGCTACATTCCCTAAAAGCCTGCTCGTGTCTGTGGTGCAAATGGTGCATAAAAGTCAGACTGAGTCAAGCGACAAACTCAAAGTGTAATTCTTAATGAGATGTAGTCGTGAGAGGTGGCAGCAACGTTTGGCCTTTTTCCCCCCCTAATCTTTTTCAGTTGTAAATAAATAACATTTAGTTTGTTTAGAATATTTTCCTCATCGAAGACTTTATGGTTCTAGTTTTTAATTTAAAACGGAAAAGCTCATAAGTGGAGCGATCTAAAACACGTATGGGATTCTTCATTTGATCGTTATTCTGATGCAGTTAATTTACTATAAATGCTGTTATTTTTATCTTTCATACTTACCGTAATGTCTGGACTATAAGCCGCTACTTCTTTCACACGCTGCGGCTCAAACAGCGATGCGGCTAATTTATGGGTTTTTACAATTTTTATGAATTCACCTCAGAGACCAAAGTGAGGCTGAGAGCGACGACGACAGAGAGACTGAGGAAGTGATGAAGTGATTCTGAGGCTGTTCAGCTCCTGGAGACACTGAAGAAGACGACTTTAGTGGTTTTAGTGCAGGAGGAAGATGAAGATAGCCATCAGTGACTTTTCCTGGTAGCTGCTGGAGTTTTATTTCCTTAACCAGCCGTGTTACAGGAAGTGTTCAGAAAAAAGCCTCTACGGTACGTATCTGTGGATGTTACCGCTACGCATTTAATTAAAGGTTAAAACATCTTTCTGTGTAAATATCTCATGTTCCAACGTGGACACCTGCAGCCTGGATGTGTACACACCTGGTTTCTTTTTAAAGTCAGTGGGTGGGGCTTATATTCAGGTGCCTCTATAGTCTGAACATTACGGTACTCATGATGTGTTTCTTTTCCTGTCAGAAACAGCCCTCTGCACTTTTACGGTCATCGATGTGCAAACTTGCACATTTGAAGAGTCATCTGACCTCCTGTTTACCTTCTATGTGGTTTTACTAAAGGCCACTTGTCATCAGGTTCTGGAGTCTTGTTTAAGGCCAAGCTACATGTTCAGACGTTTTTCATGGTAAACTTTGAACAAATAACAAACAACTATAAGACAGTGCTGCTGAACACCAGTCAGTCATTTTAACCAGTGGAGGATGAACCGAGGCAGATTCTCCAAGATAAATACAGCCTCCTCTGAGTCGTGTGTGTGTAGTTGTGCGCTGAAGTCCATATCTGCCAAATGTTATAGCTGACTGACTGAAAGAGTGATAAAAGGGAGGAAACACAGGATGTCAGACAGACACTGGTGGAGGGAACAAAAGACAGGGAGAGGGGATGATTGGAACATTGTGTAGAATCTATTACTGAAGCCATCAGGGGGGATGGATGGACATACAACTGAAATGGAAGATTGGTAAACAACAGGGGAAGCGACAGAGCATCAAACATGGCTTCTGCAGCCTGAGGAGAAGTGAACCAGGGCTAATGGATGTGACAGTGGCGAGGGTAACCGTACTTTTACAAAGGGGATTAGAAATCCCTTAATGATACGAGCCTAACTCAAAGCGTATGCATGCTGGAGTGTTGTGATTAAAAAGTGCATTTCATAAAGAACGGAGAGCAGCGGTGGACCGACAGATGAAAGAGATCACCAAGAACCTGTTTTTAAAAAAAGATGCAGCGAACAGATTTGATTTGATATGAAAAAGATGTCTACATGGACGGGAACGTAACTAGATCACTGCAGCACGAGCCCGGCTTTGTTGTGGCTGATAAAAGTAAGCAGAGCAACGCAGAGACGAGCCCTCATGTCTGTTGTGTAAAATGTGGATAGAAACCAAAAAAAAGACAATTTGAGTAAATGCATTAGAAAAAATCTGGTCAACAAGCATTCTGTGTGTTGCATGACGGATCAGACAAACTAAACTACAAGCTTTTGTGGGAATCCGTCTTCCACGGCGCTGCTGCAGCACCGTTCTGCACAGAGTCGGTTTTCATGGCGTCACTGATGTCCTTCTGCCAGATATGTGTGGATCTGTCTCCTGGTCTGTTACCTCTGAGAAAGTCGCTGCAGCAATTCATGAGCGTGCTGCTGATTTGCATTGTGGGAACTGCAGGATTTATTTTTGTAGCTTGATCATTGCTTCTTAAAGGTTCCTTCAGTCTTTTGTTATCTGTGTGTCCATCACAGACTAAAGCTAAACAAAGATCAGCTCACACTCTGAAACAGTCAAATCTGAAGGTTTGTTTTCTCATTGCTGGATGCTTCTCTCTGCTTCCAAGGCCTGGACTTTGTGGTCAGTCCATCCATGGTCTGGTTTCTCCTGTAGTTATGATGTTGGAGGGAAGCTGCCCTCTCACACATGCAGCACTGATGGATGCTGGGTTTTATTTTTCTGGTACTTGTGCTTGTTTTTGTGGCATCATCAGCGTCTTTCAACTGGAAGACTTTGGATCTTTTTTTTAGCCTTTTTGAAGTTTTGCTGAATCTTTTTGTTCTTTTTTAGGACGGTTACGGTCTTTGTTGAATTTTCCAGGGAAGCTATCCTCAGAGGTTTTTCAAATTGTTCCAGAACAAAGCTGAGCAGGTTGAAGCTGCGGCACAATGAGTCAAGTCGCTCGGTTAAAGAAAGAAAATAAATCTTACTCAGAATTCATCACCAATTAGCCTGATTTAATATAGTCAAGAACTAAACAGCCTTGCAACAGATCAGTTAAGAATTAAAGTATTTCCCCCGAAGCTGAACTTTGCACCACCTCTAACATGTAATATCACATCGCACTGCAACAGGAGCTGATCCCAGAACTTTAAATTACCAGCAGCATACATCCAGTTCATAGCAGTGACCCAATAAAAGCGCTGTGGTCGGCATTCCAGAGCCGCGTCCACAGTACACGCATCAGGAAGAAGCAGGAAGTCCAAAGAGAAAGAATGCGTCCATGTCATGCTAATCCTCAGTAGAAAAGCTACTGGACTTCTCTTTTAGGTTCTCTTTCGGTTCTTTTCAGAACTAAAAAAGCATCTTGGATCATGTCTTGGAGAACCCAAAGACAGGTCCAGTAGCTTTTCACCAAACCTCCTGTGATGGCAACAAGAACGGTGAGGCACTGGGCTGGAAAGGCCGAATCAATACAGTAATCAGTCTTCCTTTGATGAATCTGTTTACGTCTGGTGAAAAATGTAAGTTAGAAACTAGAACGTGATGTTTGCAGAACAAATAGGTGTGTAGCTCCTGACAGCTCCACCCACCGGCTCACAGCCGACTTCCTGGAATATGGTCCTCACATGAAAAGCTCTTGTGCTGACTCGTATCCAGTCTGTATAGATCAAGAGAAATTGCTCCTATTGATCACCCCAACAAATAATCAGTTCTTTCATTATTAAATTACTTTGTTTGAGAGCTGTCCCAAAACACAACATGAGCAATCAGTCACCTCCACCATAGTCTCAGTTACTCTGAGGTTCTCAACAAAACAATGACACGACCTCATACGACCTGTCAGCTGGACAACGGCATGACCTCTGATAAAGCACATGTGTTGCAGTCTTATTGATTACATACTCTAACTTGTATATGATCCATATCACACCAGCGTGAAGCCCCAGACAGTCAGAGGCTCTGAGATGTAATATGTTGAGCTGGTGAATGTGAAACAGTGAGATGAGACAATAGAATCACCAACGCTGGATGTAGCCGCAGCGTCATGAACTGGCGAGTCATGAAATTACCAAAATGTCTGAATAGGTTACGCCGTTGGACAGACAGACATGTATCCAGTCCCAGACATAAATGACAAGCAAGTAATCCAGCTGCCACTCATGCAGCCAGCCGGCCATGCATGCAGGCGGAGAGCTGTTGTGTATTTGTGTAGAGCACAGTGACTATTGGCGAGCTGTCAGTGACTTTAACACACATCCTGACGTGCAGCAGCCCTCTAAGGCCTCCCCTGGAGTCTGTCAAGAAGAAGAAGAAGGGGAAAGAAAGTGTGTGTGTGTGTGTGTGTGTGTGTGTGTGTGTGCGTGTGTGTGCGTGTGTGTGTGTGTGTGTGTGTCCATCCATGTGCGTCTGTCTGAGTCTGCAGGAGGTAGAAAGGTGTGGGTGTAGATCAATAATAATCAGCTGCAGTAGAACTGGAAGTTCACCCAACAGTGACTCACATCAAACACACACTCACGCACAAACACAAATGCGTACACAAATACATGCACAGCAGCACTCAGAAGCCGATCCATACACCTCATGACACTGCATTGTAGCCCAAACTATAGTGACAGCCCCAAACCAAAGCCAACACACACACTCATACAAAACAACCTCAAACTAAAGCGCTTACTCATGCTCAAAAAGTACCGCTTCAAAAATGCATGCGTCCAATCTCATCGATTTTCCATACACTTCAGCACCCTCATCTTTCTCTTCTCGCTCCACACCCACAACCCTCACCCCACGCCGCCGCCCGCTCTCCATTTCTTTACCTCTTCGAAGTGGTCTTGATGATGTCGGAGACTTTCTGTATGTAATCGGTGGCGAGCACCACGATCTCTTCGTCTTCTAGGAAGCTGTCATTGAAGATTCTGTCCAGCAAGCGTTTCCAGTGAAGCTGCCGCAAGAGGAGAAATGACGCCGGGTTAGATTTTAAAGAGTCGTACAAGTTACTCTGTCAGCAACAAACAGCTAGTTGTAGGTGGCGTTGTATGTGACCCAGCATCTTTTTGCTGAAACTGGAACAATCAGACTTTTTAGTAATCTGTAATCTTTTAATCTAGTAATCTTTGTAGTTACATGTAGATTGGTTCTACACAGTGTGTAACAGTCTATGACCTGCTGGGGGAGGGTCACATGTCGGGGACGTCCAAATCACCCGTATAGATGGTTCATCCGTACCCTAGCATGTAGTCCATAGGAGCCTTACTGAGGGCAGCAGGTAAAATAAATGATGTGACAGTGTGATGGGACGCTTTGGTCACGTTTAGACACAGAAACTCTTTGGTTGTGGGAAGACTGTGGTCTGGATTGAAATGAACCCAGGTGACCTTTGCTGTCACTGTATCCTGTTTTGTTGCCAGCCCATCCATCCACCCGGACCTCCTCCCTACGCTGACTTGGTAGCTGTCTAACAATATTACCTGAACTCCTCCTCTGCTCGTTCATAGTTACTACAGCCACTAGAGGGCACTGTTACTCGAAGGTAAACATGGTTTGGGGGTTTTTCTGATGCTGGCTCACTGTTAGACGTCACTTCACAATAAAACGATACGATGGTCGCCATCCTAACTGCTGCAGGAAAAAGCAACTGGACTTCTCTGTTTTGGTTGTTGAGAACATTTCACCTCTCATCCAAGAGGCTTCTTCATTTCTAACCAGTCACCAGCTGGAGTCAGACCTGAGAAAACCTCTTAGATGAGAGGGGAAAGGTTTTCAACAGCCAGAAGAGAGCTGCTGCCTCCTACTGAAGTGCTTCGTGTTACTGTGACCGGGGCGACTGAGAATCCACACAAACATGGCCGGTTTTGTTTTTTAATGGGACTCAGTTCAATCTGTAATTAAACACCCTACATGCTATGAATAACATGCTGCTCCTGAATACCAATGTGCTGATAATGTCCAGTCCAGAGTCTTGTAAACTCAAACCTCAGCAGTGGAACAGACCTCTTTCAGTAAATTCTAGCGCCAATCCATAAAGACCTGTGACGTGACCTGTAACCGATCAGTTTCAGAGCTGCAGCTGGAAATGGACCTACGGTGGAGGAACTAGCATCCCCAGGTTAACGAAGCGACAGTAAGAAATACATAAAACATGTGGCACCCTGGTGGTCCAGAAGTTTAAGGTGCTGACCCTGACCTGCATTGTTTCCATGTGGCATTACCGTTGACTCATGCCGTGGCTCAGCTCTCTCTCTGTCGCCTTCTCCTGTCATCTCTATACTGTCAGAATAAAGCATCAATAATGTGCGCCGTATGAACCAAAGCGTGATCAATATCCAGCAATTTTGCATTCACGCCAGAGGGGTTTGCACCAGCTGCTCTAGATCATCCCTGCTAACCGGTTTAAGTCTCAAGGATGCCCACGTCCATGGTCCCCTCCCCGTCTCCGTAGACATGGACATAGGCCTCGACACCATCAGCTTCCTTTCATTTCTTGTTTTTTTTACACAAGAGAAGACACACAGTCCAAAGTTGTGGTAACCAATACGAGCCAAGTTTTGCAGCATCTGAGCTGTGAAAGTAACAGGTTAAGAAATGGTAGGTAGAATATGAATCATGAGAAATGTTTTGAGTGGAGAAACATCAGTCCACTGCTCTGCTGCTGAGTCACTTCCAGGTTTTCTGACACTTCCTTTCTGGCAAGACCTCATTCATGCTTGTTTGGTTTTTGCCAATTTCAGGTTTCCAAAATATGTGGACGAGGTTAACTTCCATCATTTTATAATTTTTTGTTCTCACTTAATTGCACACCAGCATCCCAACTGTATTCTGTATGTGGATATTTTTTACTCGGAGCTCTAATTTCCAGTGATGGAGCTCCAGGACTTTTCATGTATTTGGGCTCCAGATCCAAGAAAAGCAAATAATTTGCTGCAACACACTGAAGCCATTTCGTAGCATTCTGTCTTTCTCTGATTGGATCTCCATCCTCTAATCTGCTTCTTTCCATGTGTCTCTTTCTTCTTGTCAGCATCGCTCACACCCCTTCCATCCTCACTTATGTCCACATTGTGTGCAGAGCTTTCTTTTTTGTTTTTCTTTTTTTTTTGGCTGAAAAAGTGAAAATCAAACTCTTTATCTTCCTCTCAGTAGATGCCCAGCTTCCACCTCTCCTGCTTCCCTCTTCATCTGTCCCTCCCTCCCTCCACCATGAAGCGTCTTGAGATTCTCTGTCACTGTTAGCGCTGCTTCAGAGGAGAGCCTCCTTCTTCTTCTGTCTCTCCTTCCCTGCCTCCAATGCCAGTGCTTCTCCCTCGTTCCTCTGCCCTCCCTCCCTCATTTCAAACACCCCCAATGTCTCCTCATTTTCTCCTTTTCTCTCTACCTACTTCTTTCATTCCGTCCCTCAATCTGCTCGCCTACCCCTGCAGGGCGGACAGCTTTTGTGAGTCACTTAGGCCTCTGTGTGTGTGTGTGTGTGTGT